GGATTATGGATACTCTGTGAATTTAGAAACCATTTAGATATGATGTTATTTCTACTGTGTTTAGAGTCAGAGCTCAGAGCTAAATCCTTCCACCTAGACAATTAAAACCTTGACTTTTCATTGTGTATCATTAAATGTACTCCATTGTTCGTCATTTTCATAATTCATTATGTTTTACTGCTGTCATTGTTGATCATGCATTAGTTGTATACAATAAATGTTAATATCATCTGGACCATGTTACTATGGTGATATGCATATCAATTCTATTGTACATTTGTCTATATTTATTTCCTCAGCTGTGACTAAATTAATCTAGAATTACGGTTCTGTATGTTTCAATGGGAGAACAAAATTGGAAATTAATATCGGCAATTTTGTACAATATTTCATATTCATGCTGTAAACTACTTTAATTTCATGACAGACGATTTTTTTGGGAGTCAGTGAACATTGAAAATTAAATGGTTTACAGTTAATCATATGTGTAGACTTCAGCTATTTAAAAGTAAACTCAACTTGCACTAAACACATCTAGCACATATTGTTATTTCTAAATAAGTTATGATGTAATTTAGTTCATAATAACGTAGTTATTAGATAATTCATATAGTGTGCATAAAATGGCTGCACTATTCAGTAATCTGGAAAACATATTTCACTATCTTGAAAATCAAGCTACTATATTTTAGTGTCAGTGTTTTCAGTCTGCAGAATCGGAGATTATGTTGCCTCCCAGACACTTGATTTGTGATGCAGACAAATAAAAGTATTTTAATTAGTTATTGAGAATCACAAAATTGAATATTGTTGCTGTTTCTTGTGTTATTGTGGCCTGTTTCATTTTTACTGGAAATTTTACGAATTCCTCTTAATTGATTTGAAAGTAACTTGTGACAAATCAGTGACAATATATTAGTCACATCTAACCAAATTGTTGTTTTCAATGGAATTTTGTTTGAAAAATTGCTTTGATTTTCTAAGATGGTGAATGTGTTTTTTAATTTAACAAATACTGTTTAGCAACAAATTAGCAAACACACATTTTTTAATGGCGTAAGGTTCAAGTTAAATAAATGTAAAATTTTCACAGTAAACTAAAACTTTCATCATGCACATTTTCACTCTTTTACTGCCAGAATAAATATTCAAAGATTTGTTATATAATTGTTGAACCCTTGAAAAAAATGTTCAGATTGGTGGAAGAAAATTGAAAATGGCAGTCAGAGGATGAATTCATATACATATATTATATTGCTAAGTTTAAAATTAAAAAATATATTAAATATAATATTATTATAACATAATTTACATGTTTATCTATATATTGTTTTGCATGTTTATTTGTTTGTTAATTCCATATTTAATTTCTGTTTGTTGTACCATTTATCTATCTATAAGGATTATGAGCCTGTCTTGGTAAGTGGTTCAAAGGTCATATGCATCTCATTAGCATGCAAATACATGCATGAACTTCTCCAGTTGCATGAAAAGCATTGTATCACTTTGCTGCTGTATAGCTCTATTCTATATGGGTACTAGTGAATTGCATGCAATATACTTACATTTTGTGCTTGAATTCAATCATAATATAATTATTTAATAAGGCCAAGCAAAAAATAAGTTTTTCTGGTTAACCTCTTTTGTGCCAAACTTCTCACAGTCACCTTGCTCTCTATCAGTGACTTTCTTTTACTAAGCTTCACTTTCCACCAAGCAGAAGCTGCATGTCTGCTAATATCACTTGTATCTTGCTTTCCTCCCACCCAGCAAGCATACTGAATCTAAAAATAATATTCTTTCCACCTTATAAATTGTCAATGCATGTAGCTTAACCGTATAAATCCTATAAGCAATCCCCTCCTCTCAAATCTCCATCTACCATGCCTACATTGGGGGGCAATAATTACTGGCTGATCATGTCATGTTGTACATGGTGTAACTATTTCCCATCTCTGATGTCATATCTTCCCATTTCTTTGAATCAATAATGATTGGCTGATACCCAGTTATGTAGATTAGCATGGCAGCCAATCAGGTGAAAACAACTGAGTATAGTATGACATAGACAGGAGGACTGGTGTCATTACCAAGTTATACTGTAGACTTTCATCAAATTCATTTCCTTACAATTGGCCAAAAGTTATCAAATCAAGCCAGATATCGAAAACAATTTATTAAAATTTATAGTAATTTAAGAGCTATTTTCAGCAATATGGCCTTTGTGATAAATTTTTTGTGAAGGACTTTTTTGAGAAATATTTTCTTGAATTCTCTATAGAGGGCGCTGGGCATTTTTATTTGAATGCATTTGACTCACTTGCATATATGAAAGTTTGAAACGCATATTAAATGCACATAGTATAGTCAACATAACAGTGTCTTAAGTACTCAAATGTGAAAAACGTGTACTAATTCAAGTGTATACTTGGACAAGCAAAAGATTGACAGTATGATTGCATGTCTGCATCCCTTTGTGTAGTTAGGATAATACCAGTATGTACCGGTATATTGCATGTCAAACTTACTACCGGTAATCAAAATTGCATGTTGATTTAATTGTGTATGATGGTATGTTTTCAGAAAATGCATTGTGATCTGTTTTATATGTGTTACTGAATCACCTTCTCTGTGTTGCATGTCTGAAAACTTATTTTAATAATTGATTTGCTAAAATATAAATTGTTCCAGAGAAAAATTAATGCTTCACATATACACATTAAAAAGTTGTCTGAACTGAACCTTGTTGCATACTGGGCACCTTTCTAGAGCATCATATCAGTCTCAATAAACATTGCACTTGCATGATTACTGAATGAATTTGGTGCTCAGTTTAAACAGACTTCACTGTTGCCATGGTTACATTAGAAAAAGTTTGGTAGGTTGCTGGCATTTATTGTACTGTCAGTGAATATACAGCACTAGCTTTGTTATATTTTGTGAAACATTTTGAATGATTTTAATATTCTCATTCAAAATTATATTCATGTGTATATCTGTAGTACAGTATTTATTTTCACAATATTATGATTGAATTGGTTACAATATCTTAGCGTCCTGTTAGCAGGCCAGTCACACTGGTTCTCACTACAAGAGGTTAGGATCCCCCCTGCCAAATGCTAAGAAAAACTGAAACATATATATACATGTTTACGTGAAATGCAAATGAGTATTGCTGTGAAAGAATGGTTATAGATTATATCTTGGGCTTAGGCTTCGAATACAGCAACAATTTGCTTACTTTTGTTTAGGCAATTGAACTTTAACAGACATTTTGTAATGCCATTTGTTGAAATAGGTTACATAAAACTTGCAAGATAATGAGCTATTCATTAGGTATCAGCGTACATGGATATAAAAATTGTATTTCCTTATCTAAAGTCCTTGGTAAAATATTAATAACATTTAATGTTTCTGATGTAATTTCATGAAAGTTGTTTAAAATCATAAAACATTGAAAACAATTAATTGCTTATAGTCATCTTATAGACAAGTGAAAAAATAGCCGGTAAGTTTTGATATACATTTGTCTAGTTCACCAAATATTAGTCTAAAATTATGGGTTATTACTGTGGCTTGTACAAAAGATAATTTCCAAAGTATATACGTAATGTAAAACATCTATTTATATACCTTTGAATGTTATGACCTCATCCCCAGGGTCATATCATACTATTAAAATCATAGTTAAATATCTGCTTGTATTATTTTCACCAGGTTAATTCATTCCTCCAATTATGGGAAGATTTCAAAAAGCGAACACCACTAACTCGAGATGTAGCACGACCGCTAGAGATGGTAAGCAATTGTAGATATAATATATGTGTGATGTGTTGACTCAGGAACACACAAAACATCAAAGAAACCAGAGAGCTTTCAAACTTAACTTCTTGTTTATTCCGTCATTTTCAGTTACACCACCCGCACTACTTTTACATATCAATACACTCGGGTGATCAGGTGACATATAACACCATTACAAAAGTATGTATTCTGGTGCATGCAATAAAGTAGTCCCAAAAACGTCACGATATACCTAATAGCCCCGTGTCTAAATATGATTGCTCATGATCGTACATTGATCATTTTAGTGCCTAATTGCATTAGATGCTGCATCACTTTTTGAACACCAAATTCATTTTTTTCCCATATATTTTCAAAAATGTTGATCAAGATCTGTAACTAATGGGAAATTATGTATATTTGGTCATACATACAAGATATAGAAAAATATATACAAATTTGTAAAATGTTGCATCAAACTGAGAATTGTCACTTTTTGTTAGAGCTGAGGTTGGTGGAGATAGGAAACATTGAATAGAACACCATCTTTATTTACAAAAATGGAATAAAGTTTATTTTTGTTTCTAGGGAAGAACCTTGTCTCTGATTGGTCAGTTTTATGCACATCTGTTGTGGCAAGATGAGTATGCATTGGATGATGAACAGGTGTCTTCCATATTGGTGAGTATTTACAGCCAATCAGTTGTCTGGTACAAGGTTTCAAGTCTACCATTAAGGCCTAACTATCTCACCTTTGAGTATAAATGTTCATGAACAAAATAGAAAAAGACCTGATTGTCAACAGCATATCTGTTATGTATATTTGAACAAATACTATTTATTTTTTGTGAAATAATGCTTTAACTTTTTATTTTTGCATTTTTTGGACAGTATTTAACCCTAAGAATATTTTGCGCTGGGTAAAATTAATGAAACGTTGATGACATGTACGTGCATCCTAATCAGTAATTATGTGAGATATTTGTAAGCACGTTTTATTTAACAGGTTAAATACCTGTGAACGATGCTGAGT